GGTGAAGCGACACTTCTGGCGATGTCTTGTGGTTGAAACAGAGGCTGCCGTCAGGACAGATGGAAGCGCAACCCGGACCAGTAACCTCGAACGTGGAGTGGCTGCCTTGCAAAGCAATTGTATAGTTGCCTGCATCTCGAGCTTCCGTAAAGGGAGTAAAGGCGCCCCAACGAATCGGAAAGGTTGAATGGGACTTTGCCATCTTTTGTAGGTAAACAAAATGGGACATAAATGTCTACATTGTAACCTTACAAAAGTACACTTGCTCAACTATTACCAACCTAGACCAGCAATTTTGTTGAATGAAACGAAATAAAGTAGTAGTAAGGTGTAGGGATGCAGACGTCCTCATCAAGTGGAAACTGGTGCCTATATCGAAAGCCCTTCAGATAGGAGACATTTATATTTAGTTCATTGCCTCAGGTGTATCCACCTTTGATTAGTTTCTGGCGCATAATCCTGGGCGACGTGATCAGTTATACTGGTAAATCAAATAAGAAGCTCGCGCAAGGTTGATGCGGATTAAATTAGCCGACAGTCGTAGGTAAATAGTTAATGATGCTAATAGTAAATTATAAGCGGTCTTTATGTTGAAAAATGCCGTGTAAAGAGACTAATAAGTTTAACGGTAAAGAATTGGGATGGGTAAATACACCCTTTTGGCCCTAATTCAGGTCTCGGCTGAGGCTGCAAGGTGGTTGTACCATTCTTAATTTCAACAAGGCCAAGGTACTTTATCCTGTTTACTTGTCAAGTTTAGATAGAAAGGGACCAACTCGAAATAAGGCCTGACGGTCTACCAGCCTTACCTAAATATGCAATAAAAATCTTGAAAAATGGAAATAAAAGTCTAAAAAGAATGCTTATAATGCATAGATAAGCGAATATTCTATTACATAGATTAAGTTAGTTATGTTAGGCATTGCCATTTCTTAGTAAGGAGAGTTACCCTCTATATTAGGCGCTTATTGGGACTATAAGTTGATAGCCAATAGAGGGCTTGCCACAATTTGATAGCGGATATGGTTGGAGGTGTTAAGCGTTCTCTTAAACAACAGCCCGACTTACGTTTTTCTTAGGCCAAGAGCCTCCGTTCTCGATTGTGTATTCAAGAACAAAAATAATCGCGGCTTCTTTGTCCTGGGGCATGTCGAGTTCAACAATGTCCCTTGCCAAGAGACTGACATTGTGGTTTTGATCCTTCAATGGTTCCAACGAAACGGCCGGCTGACCTCGACGAGCATTACGCAGAGATAAACTGAGAACACGTTTTCCAGAGAAGTGCTTATCTGAATAGTCTAATTCTGCATCT